ACCATGCTCCGATATCTGAATTGCTAAGTAAACTGGACACCTATGAAAAAGTTAAGTGCCAAGGTGCAGCTCTTCGTGCTAAATCTGATATTTCTTTGGAATCAGATAAATGTTCTAAATTTTTCCTGAATTTGGAAAAGTTTCACCAGGAATCAAATGTAATTAAAAGTGTAAAATCGTCTGATGGTAGAGTCGTTAGTGACACCATTAGTATTCTTCACGAAGCTGTTAAGTTCTATAAGACATTATACACTGACGAACCTGTTGACAAAAAATAATCAAACTGTCTTATTAGATCTTGTAGAGAACACATTATCCGATGATCAAAATTCTTTTTGTGACTCTGATATAAGTTTGAAAGAAATGTACCATTCCTTAAAGGGAATGAAGAGATCCAAATCTCCAGGTCCTGATGGACTAACAGTTGAGTTTTACGTACATTTTTGGGATATACTGGGTAATATTTATTACGATGTTATCAAGGAAGTTCAAAAGCTTGGTGAACTTAGTCGATCAATGAAACGAGGTGTTGTATCATTATTCTACAAGAAACGTGGTGATAAAACAGAGCTTAAAAATTGGCGACCAATTAGTCTGCTAAATGTTGACTATAAGATATATTCTAGAACTCTGGCACTACGTCTTAAAACTGTTATGGCTTCTATAATATCTCCAGAGCAAACTTGTTGTATACCTGGTCGTGATATAGCTTGCAATATCTTAAATATTCGAGACCTTATCGATTTTGTCGAGCTTGAGGATCTTCCCCTTTACCTACTTAAGTTGGACGCTGAAAAAGGCTTGGATAGGGTTAACCATCAATACTTGTTTGATTTGTTGGTTAAATGCGGTTTCGGTGAAAGTTTTGTGAATAATATCAAGATTTTATATAATCAAATTAATAGCTCCATACAAATAAATGGGCATGTATCCCTGTCTTTCCCTGTCTCAAGATCTGTCAGACAAGGATGTCCAATCTCTGCTCTTCTGTATGTGCTTACGTCAGAACCTTTGAATTTGTTGGTGAAGTCAAACCTAGACACTAAGGGAGTTAGTATACCAGGATCTGATAACGATTCGCTTATTTTTCAACACGCAGATGATTCAACATTGACTGTTTCAACCGTTGACTCTATACAAGAAGCCCTTGACACTGTTAATATCTATTGCTCTGCGTCTGGTGCAAAAATTAATGTTGATAAATCCGAATTACTGTTAGCGCGAAGATATCCAATAGTGGATGTGTTCCGGTAAAACAAACTGTTGGTGCAACTAAAATTCTTGGGATTTATCTAGGCCCTGATAAGAATTTGTGTGAAAAGTTAAATTGGGAGTCAAGGATCGTTAAAATTTCCAGAATTTTAAATTTATGGAGAACAAGGCAGCTTCATGTAAAAGGAAAGGTTGTGGTTATTAATACGTTGTGTTTGTCAACATTATGGTACATTCTCCGTGTTACAGACATCCCACTGTGGGCTCTTCAGAAAATTGAACGTTCAATAAGGCAATTCCTGTGGTCTGGTAAACCGTCTTTAATTAAAAAGAATACCATTTGTGGTGGACTGGATCAAGGAGGATTGAATCTGAATGAAATATCACTTAAACAGTTGTCTTTTAGATTAGCATGGTTGTCAAAATATCTTAATTGTTGTAATGATAGCACCTGAATTAATATTTATCAAATATAAACCTATTCATTTAAAGTCATTACCCTTTTTTTATAGTTCTATGCTTTTAGCATGGGATCGGTTTTCTGATGGAAAACGTCCTCTACTTGAGTCATTTAATGATGTATTAAATCAGCCTCTTTTTGATAACCCAAATATAATAATTCATCGTTCCAAATCCTTATACTTCAAAGGTTTTGTAGTATCAGGTATTGTGAAAATTGCAGATATTTATTGTCAATTAACTCCTGGATTTTTGTCTGCTGATGAAATTTATTTTTTAATTAAGAGCCTAGTTCCAGAGGCTTCATTGGTAAAGGTTAAAAATCAGTACTCTGCACTATTAAAAGCATTGCCAAATGAGTGGGTTGATATCATCAATACAAATTATCAAGATTCACTTGATCTGAGTTACTCGGTTGATTTTGTTCTGAATGTTCAGGATAAAGATTTTGTCTTGACCAACATAAAATCTGGTTCAGTATATAAAATTCTTAGGAATGTATTTTCTGTTAAACCTACAAGTCTGGATTATTGGGGAGAATTAGGTTATGATGTTGATTGGTCGAATGTTTGGAAGTCGGTATTCCATCCTTCCAAATGTTCTGAATTTGTAGATACTGATTACAAGATTGTACACAATATTGTATGGACTAATTATAAGAAGTGTAAAGCTAAATTAGTTCCTGATCCTTTTTGTATCTTATGTGAAGATCAATGTGTTGAAACTTTGCGGCATATCTTACTAGACTGTAAATATGTCAAATCATTATACGAGCTCATATATGACATATATCCTGTCAGAAAGGAAGCTGATAATTTATTTTTAGTATTTTTATTATCGGCTGCTAGGTTGGCTGTTTTAAAGAGAAGGTTGTATTTCTTAAAGCAAAATCATAAGTTAGAAATACGTGCCGTATTTAAATCAATTTTAACAGCTCATGTGAATAATGTTTATATTTATATGAAACATCATGGATTATTATACAAGTTTCAACTTTTATATCAATTAAATCCATATATAGAAATTGTTGATGATAAAATCCTCGTAAAATTACAGGTGAAGTGGTCATCAGCATTAATCAAATATGATCTTCTTTCAGCGTTTGTCATTAAAACCTAATCCACAACAAGTTATCCATTAATCAATGAATCAATTTGTGTTAATTTTCAGGTAAAGTGGTCGTATTGAATGTTGTTATTAGCTTTTAACCTTTTAGCCCTTAATTAAGTTAGATTACCTGTAATTATCTCTAGGTAGTCAACATTAACTAAGTATTGTTGTGTACATGTATGTATTGTCTTGTTATATTTTCATATTTTATCATTGCTTGATAATGACTAGAGAAAGCCTAGTTGCAAGGTCACTCAGTAATAAGCAGTAATTGTATTATATAGAATTGTCATCTGTATATTCCAGTTTAATTACTAAATACCATTAAAACAATTTATATAGGATGCTCCAGAAAGAATAATGGCTCATATTGTTAGTCTCGGTCACCCAGAACCTCCTAGTCGGGCATCAAGAACCCCCTTGTCTTGAACATACGGAGAGTGTGGGACCGTTGTCAATATTTGACGAAAAGTTCCATTGTCCATGCGTAACCGGGATTTTTTTTATGTGGTTGATTATCTAGTATATTTGGCCAAGTCAAGTAAGAGTTGCACCCCTTCTAGCAATAAATCATTCTTTTATTATTATAAATAAACATGAATCGTGACGACGACTTAGGATTAATTTTTAAAAAACCCCACATAACTATGGCCCATGAAGAGAGAAATTTTACTATAAAAAAATTAAGAGTGTTGGATATTGAACTGGCAATGCAATCAAATGGATTTTCTGAAATGACATTCTTAAATTAATTTCATGGGCGTCGACATTTTGTTTTAGGACTAGTTATCTCCCTTAGACTTTATTTATGACAATGTGAAAGACCGGATAATCTAGCCAATGGCCTAATATTCTCAAATGTTGACAACGCATCCAGACTAATATGTTGAATTTATGTAAATTAGGCCATTTCACCGCCCCGAGAATCAGAGAACTTTGGATATGTTGTAGCCGATGATCCCACGAACATTTGTTACACATTTCATACAAAACTACAGCAAACGAAGACACTACACGATGACATCACTTCCGTTATCAACAAAATATTCGCTTTTTAAAAAGGGTTTATAGAGGGTTAATTCTGCTCAATTTTAATAAATTTTCTGTCATGGCAAAGGGCAATCGAAGTGGTTATATCTGTAATTCAATTTATGATAATTTTTTAACTCGCAGGGGCCATTTTTCAATCTGTAATAAATTTGTAAGGCGAGAACTCAATATTAAAAGATATATGAGACTCCAAAGTTATAAATTCATTCATACTAGGCCCCTTCCCTCAATCTGATTAAAATACAGATCTATATTTCATTTCATTTTTTTATACTTTCGATGGCCTACACTACATGAAGATCTGACCGGTTGTAGTAAAAGGTCGTGTCAGAGGTCGTACGAACGACTTTTGACCCTATGACGCCAAACATTGATTAATCAATCAGCGTTGACGTTTCTAGTGGTTTACCGACAGTTCATTGCATCAAACGCCAAGAACTCGCCGTAACAAACAGTTTCATTGGCTAATCCCTCACTTCAACCAGAACACCGGTAATATAACAACTCTTCCAGATCCTAGTGTAGTAAAAACAAGTAAAACGAAATTTTGAACTATAAAAAACGAAAAGAAACAGGATCTTTGTTTTAATCAGATTGCCCTTTCTCCGGACTGAAAATCAGAGAACTTTGGATATGCTGTAGAGGATGATGCCCCGAACAGTACAAAGAAACCTGTTGCAATTTTTTCTATGTTGCCCTAAATTTAAAGGCTCAATACCACTCTTGTTGTAACTGAATAATATGTCCCAATCTTTATTCTGGTCAACAAATTGTGCTATTTTACAATATTCCAATTAATTGATGATACAAACTTCATCTTAACACACCTAATTTAAAAAATTGAAAAAAATTCAACTAAACGATTTGAAAAGCCTAACGTTAACCTTTTCAAATGTGACTTGGATTTAAAAATATTTTCAAACCCTCTGGACAAGTAAAATAGGATGTAATGGATAATTTACACAACAGGTAGGGCACTAACACATCTATTACTTAGAATAAGGCTATTTTTTTATTTTTCTGGAGCTATCAAGCCAGCAAGAGTGGTATTGTCCCTTTAAGCTAGATTGACTGGACTATAAACGCGAGTTCAGTTCATTTCCTTCTTCAAAAGTCAAATTATTATCGATACATGTAGGCCTATCACCATAAAACCAACAACTCGTGACTAACATAAATATAATTATATTTAACTAGGATATATTACAGCAGCAATAAATTCATTTTACATCATTTCCCAAATAATTAGCCACTATAAATATACAATCAACACAAAAAAATATTATATGGAACTCAATTTTGTTTCGTTGAGGGTTTTCTCTTGTCTACGATATCACCCTTGGTGGAAGTGGACGTAAAACTCCATGCACGCATGCCCCAGTTTTGCCCCTCCAACCACCGACGGGTGGCGCCGCCACTACGCACGCACAGGGTTCTCTCAATGTTATCCAGCGGCGGATCTAGGAATTTTTGTAGGAGGGGGTTTGCCAGGTTCCTGTTAAGGTAATTTGTCAGTTGACAATGCGGAGGAGGGGGGGGGGTGCACCACACTCCATCTGGATCCGCTCCTGGTTCCATATTATGTTTTTGTGTTTATTACTTGCTAAATGCCACTCAATAAAGATATAAATATATAAGTATATATAAATAATATAATAATATAACATGCTCTGTATATTGTTGTCATATTGCACTGTCCGACCACATATTAAAATATTCAAATTAGGATCTATTATCCACGGCTAAATCTATTTGTTAAGGCCAACTCAATTTTTGTCACGGTCGTTGAGATGTTAATAAGGTTAGGGCACGTGATTGTTTGCGATATTTTAGCTTAAGGTTTAAGAATATGCGGCGAAGGGTGAGTCTCCACATAAGCACTGACCTAGGATGATGAAAATTTGGTTCGTGATATTTCCTAGTTTTATTAAAAATGCATGCAATACATGGATTAATATAAATGGTTGGTTTCGCAGTTCTTTTGGTGTCGGTGGCGCTGATGGTCTTCCTTTGCCAAGTTCGCTGAGATGTAAATACGTTTAGGGTACGGGACTGTTGGAGAGATTGTAGGTTAGGGTTAGCATCGAGGCTAGGTCCAGGGTTAGGCTTAGGTCCAGGGCTAGGGTTGGGATTATAGCGCTAGCCCTGTTCACACCTCGTGACCTATGACGAACAATTGAGCTGGCCTTATCATTAAGCATATTCATATATATATACAAGTTTAATAGTAAGTGCAGGAGGACTGCACCACACACAAACAATTACACAACAAAAATCTACGAATAAATGTACTATACCAAATTATTCAAAACAGAAAACAATCCACTTAATAACGTAAGAAGTGTTATCTCACAGTTATTATACGTTAAAAGATGCATCATAGGAGATTAGATAAAGAGCTGGCAGTTCTCACTATATTAGTTAAAAACTAGATAATGTAAAGGCAATTCGCTGAAATTTTCATTCAAATTGATTCACTATGAACCGAGAACTAAGCGATTGCAATTTCCGCCTAGCCTCGATCATCATTACTAAAGTCAGTACGATAAATAGCATAGTGTCGATTATCTATTTAATCGTTAAATCGCGAAGGAAAGTTATGCAGGCTAGCGATGCCATCTAGATAGGTTAATTAATGTCTAATTAATAATTTAGATAACATTTCAGGCCTAAAGAAAGACCCGCAATAGACAGATTTGGCACTTGCATAATGTACGTTTAAATGTAGATTTCTTATACAAATAATAATAATAAAACCATGCCCTATACTCAATGATTACAATAATCCATGCAGGTTGATGAAAAGCGTTTTATATACACATAAAATGTTTGATTGATTTATGATGGCACAATTCTATATTTCACTTAATAATTATTATATTCCCCTTAATAAGTCAAATACAGTAATTACAATGTCTATTTTTCACATAATAATTACAATGTTTCACTTATTAAAAACAATGTTTCACTTATTAAAAACAATGTTTCACTAAATAAAGACAATGTTTTACTTGTTAAAAACAATGTTTCACTAATTAATTGCAATGTTTCAATTATTAATTACACTGTTTCACTAATTAATTGTATTGTTTCAATTATTAATTACACTTTTTCACTAATTAATTGCAATGTTTCAATTATTAAATACAATGTTTCACTTATTAATTAAAATGTTTCACCAATTAATTGCAATGTTTCACTTATTAATTGATGTTACAAACACCAACTTTTGAGAATACCTCAATTTGCCCCTCCCGTCTCAAGAAAGAGAAAAAAAAAAACAATAAGTGTTCTTGTTGAAGTAGTTGTAAGATCTGCCCAGAAGAGCTGCCAATGAGCAAATATAATATTAAACATATTGATAACCCTGATAGATTCTAAAGAAAATACAATTAAAAATAGGCAGTGCTTTATTAAACAGAAGCTCTCGATTTCCCTAACCGACCGTTCCTGGAAAGGGCCGAGTTCATTTTTCATGTTCTATAAGGCATTTTCGGTCGTCAATAATACCAAGAACAAATTAGTTTCCATGAAAACATAAAAAAATATTAAATTCGAGATAGCTCAAACTAGAAAAAGGCGTAACATTTAAAAATCCCACTTACATCAGTCTACAGTGAGGCCTTTATTAACGTCTTGTGACCAAAAGAATACAGATGTGCGCATTCCCCAGATAATATATTATAATATAATCCAATACATGAATGAATTTATGTTTAAACCACGCCCTTAAGATCCACTGTTATAGACAGCTAATTAAACCACGCCCTTAAGATCCACGGGTATATACAGCTAATTAAACCACGCCCTTAGGATCCACTGTTATAGACAGCTAATTAAACCAGGCCCTTAAGATCCACGGGTATATACAGCTAATTAAACCACGCCCTTAAGATCCACGGGTATATACACTAATAAATTACAATTATTTCATACTATATATCCAGGAATGGAATTAATGATTTTAGAACTAGTCAATAACATTTTGAAATTGGTGCCAGAAGTCAATAAAACACAGAAGAAAGACAACCCTATATCAGACAAGGATTGTTTCGGACAAAGTTTGTTGTGTATACAACTAATAATAAAACTACAATCGGATTAAAATACGGATTTATATTTCGTTTCATTGTTTTAGACTTTCGATGGCCTCCACTACATGAAGATCGAATCTTTTGTAGTGGGAGGTCGCGTCACGGGTCATACGAGCAGGTTTTGCTCCTATAACGTCAGACATTTGATTAACCAATCAGCTTGGTGTTTCAAGTGGGTATTTGGAAATACAACTTTTGCTTTGTCTTTACTGAGAATGTCTACCTACAGTTCAGTGCACTCACTACACGCCAAGAACTCGCCACGACAGACAATTTTATTGGCCAATCCTTCACATCAACCAGAACGCGGGTTATATAACAACTCTTCAAGATCCTGGTGTAGTGAAGGCAAGTAAAACGAAATTTTGAACTATAAAAAAAACGAAACGAAATAGGATCTGTAATTTAATCCGATTGTACAGGTGAACAAAAAACATTAAATCATTAAGGTAATATGAGTTCGAGGGGAAACAGAAAAAGGTTTTGTATTTAGTGGAGTAGGCCTATACAAACTCTCTGGAACAGTATTGGCTTTGTGGAAGACACCATACCAAATATCATTTATTGTCTATATATATTCTATATACATTTTATATACATTGTAAAATTATTATTTTGAAAAAGATATTTTGACAAAAACAAATTCTTTCTAACCTAATATACAATAATAGTCCTCCGCCAATCACAAACACCTGTATCACAGCCAGTCAGAATCCGTCTGACAAGCGACGACACTCATTTGCATACACCATAGCTGTATCATAGCCAATCAGAATCAGTATAACAAGAGAGCAAAAATGATTTGCGTACACCATAGCTGTATCTCAGCCAATCAAAATCCGTTTGACAAACGCCACAAACATTTGCATATACCAAAGCTATATTACAGCCAATCAGAATCCGCCTGACAAGCGACCACAAACATTTGCCCATTTGAATATCACAGCCAATCAGAATCCGTCTGACAAGCGACCACAAACATATGTATTTATATACACCAGCTGTATCAAAGCCAATCAAGAGATATATCACATTATTAATAGCACTATACCAGAATACCATGACCCATGCCGCGACCTCCTACTACAATGTAATATGCAATACTATAAGATTAAAATACTGGCAGATGGTTTCTAAATCGTTAAACAATCTGGAGAACTCTCAAAAAGTAGTTCCGACTGAGAGATTCAGTGCAATATGCATTCATACAAGACTAAAATACTCTACGGAATGTTGTTAAGATTGTTTCACCAATCTGGAAGAGACCTTCTAATTCGGTCCGAGGGTATTCTGCTCAATGATTCAATGTTTTACGCAATCATACAAGACTGAAATACTCTATGGAATGTTTTTTAAAAATTGTTTCACCAATGTGGAAGAGACTTTCCAACACGTTGTTCGGTCTGAGAGTATTTTGTCGCCACGATTCAATGTTTTACGCAATCACATAAGTTTGAAACACTAACCGCGTAGTTTTTAAAATCGTTTCACCAGTCTGAACGAGAACTCCTATAAATTGATTTAGTCTGAGGGTATTCTGCTTCCCTGACTCGGGTCCAGATTGAAACACTAAACTGCTTGTTTTCTAAAATATTTCACCAACGTGGAAGAGAACTCGAATAAATTAGTTCGGTCTGTGGGCATTTGGTCTTCCTGGTTCAGTTCAAACAATTCTTTACATAAATTGTTCTAAAGCATCAACTCTGAAGACGATGCCAGCACATGATCTGTTTTCGTGGATTCTGCGTCATTTCCGTCCACTGTTCCTGCGCATCGTGGTCGAAATGAGTTCCCAGATATAATCGACCAATCAAATGCTTTTTGTCTTTCTCCATGTCGTGATGAATAACCGACACACTAAGGTAGACTTTATCTAATTGGTAGAGAGGAACGTCGAACGTTATACTCTCGTTAAAAACAGGATTCACGTCTCCAGCGCGTAATGTGGTTTTAGCTTTCTTCATCTGACGTCCATCGTACATGAGAACAACTTTAATAAAGGAATCTATGAAAAGAAGAACAGAAAAATTAATAAACGAGTAGCACAAACAAAACTATCAATAGACAAAGAAAAAAACGAATGTACAATCTTATCAAAATAGAGATCTATATTTCGTTTAGTTTTTTTTTATACTTTCGATGGCCTACACTACATGAAGATCTGACATGTTGTACTCGAAAGTCGTGTCAGGGGTCGTACGAGTGGCTTTTGACCCTATGACGCCAGACCGTTCATTGGCTCACCTCTCCAGATCCTAGTTTAGTAAAGACAAGTAAAACGAAACTTTGAACTATAAAAAACGAAACGAAATAGGATCTGTGTTTTAATCCGATTGACGAATGTATTGAACATCATAATAGGTAGCGGTCTAAATGTTAAAATTTACCGTGTATCCTTCACAAACTAGGTCGGCTCATTAGTCACTTATTGTTTTTTGGCTGTATGTTTTATCCTGCCCAGCTGCCCAGTTCCACGCTCATGCCCGTATGGTTAGCCTTCCCCTACAACAGGATCTTATTGAAAGAGACGCAATGACGAGCTTTGCGTCATAGTTTTGAGTTTTTGCGCCCCCTTGAGTTTTTGGCAAAATTTCATGAGGTTTTCAACATTATAATCCTAATCATAATGAATAGCCAGTACCATCAAACATATATATACCGTGCGTCAGATATGCTACAAATCGACTCTAGCATGTTCACATAGCCCTATGTTACTAGGTGGCACTGGGAGGGACCCCCCCCCCCCCCCTGCACACACATATAAATATTGTTAGGTTTTTTAGGGGGGGGGGATCTTGTTCCTCATGTAAAAATTATGGGTGACCACGCCCCTGCCCTACAAGTGGAACATTAGATAGTGTTATAATAGACTGATAAGAGTAAAACTATTACCTGTTGTATTTCTCTGTGGATCCATTATCTTCAGGCCTTGAGCTTTAACTATAGTTATAGTTAGCTTCTCGGCTGTTGGTAAGAACATCAGAGATACATTAACATCTCCCAAGTTTTCCTACAAATAATATAAAGCAAACAATTACTATTAGATCAATAACCAATTGGTGTGGTTTCGATTCCCCGGTTGTACGTGACAAGGAGTATTGTCACCTGTCCAACCTCGTGGGTTTTCTCTGGGTCATCCGCCCGTCCCCCACTGCTAAAGACCCCTACGCACAAGCGAATTAGTGAAATAGAATTGAACCAATTATGTCAGCCCTGAAATGACCTAGTTTGTGTCGAGCGGATGTTAAAATATCTCTCTCTCTCTCTCTCTCTCTCTCTTTATTGTCAACATTGTGTACAGTAGGGTTAGGTCTAAAAGCTAAGGTCCATTGAAAAATTCATCATAGGTCACGAGATGTAATTATGATTTGGGTATGAGTTAGGGTTGGAGCTATTTACGTCTCGTGACCTATGACTAAATTTAAATTAGGACACCCCTTTTTAAAAAAGAAAAACCAGTTGGAGAACTTACTTCAATTGGTGGCTGTAGAGGTTCGTCAAACAGCACTTCCGTTTGAGTCAGCCAATCAACTTTGGACAAATTGAGAAGCACTTCGCCCACCACAACATGGCGGGTATAACGGTCGAAATCACAGACGAGTAACTTGAGGGTATAATTTGATATATCATGTTGATCAACGTGGGTAGTGAACATTTCATTAAATATAGGATCATCACTACGTCGCTGGATTTTCGTCTGCATTTCAACTACCAAATTCTGAGTGGAGTTATCCTTGCCCAGTTTACCCCGAAACGTAAAAAAGTTTTTCGGTACTCGATACAATCTGACTTTGATGTAAGGTGCCGTAGCGCCATCTGGATCCGTAGCACTGAAGTTAGTCAACTGTTGTATTTTGATACTTAGGTTGCTGTCTACACGGTCGTACATCAGCGTAAACGACAAGCGGCCATCTTGATGAACGTACAGGGTCGGAGAAACAGAACCAGTTGAACTTGATGAAGAATATTTACTTGGTATTTTGGTTGTTCGTTCCTGTACCGGAAAAATAAACCAAAAATAGTTATAAATGCATGGTTAATAAACAACTTTAATCTACACAGGGATAAATTGATACTGTAATATAGCAATCTGGTTAAAACACAGATCCTGTTTCGTTTCGTTGCTTAAAGTTCAAAATTTCGTTTTACTCGTCTTTACTACTCTAGGATCTGGAAGAGTTGTTATATAACCCGCGTTCTGGTTGATGTGAGGTATTAGCCAACGAAACGGTCTGTTGCAGTGAGTTCTTGGCGTGCGATGCACGGAATTGTGGGTATCCTACTAGAAACATCAATGCTGATTGGTTAATTAAATGTCTGAGGTCATAGGGTCAAATGCCGCTCGTATGACCCCTGACGCGACCTTCCACTACGACCGGTCAGATCTTCATGTAGTGTAGGCCATCGAAAGTACAAAAAAACGAAACGAAATATAGATCTGTACTTTAATCATATTATGTAATATAGTGTCCAGATGATCAAGACTACATTGTCCACGTGGTTAATGTTAACCACCAAGCGACTCCGGTGTCTGGGTAATCGGGCTGGTATATAGATACACACACGGAAGGTGCCAGATTGGAAAGGTGCACCTGAGAATAAAGATCATAGATTCATATTGCAATACTGTTTGGACTCGGCGATGACTCAGTGAGTAGGACGTTTGATCGCTAACCTAGAGCTCCCGTGTTCGATCCCGGTGTTGGCCGAGAAAGTTAATCGGTTTATCCGGTGTGGTTCCTCCTTGTAAGTAGTGCAAGACGGGGGACCTGGCAAGGGACAAAGTATAATCGTTCGGATAGCATGAAAAACCGAGGTCCCGAGTACAAATTGGTGTGCACGTAAACGATCGCTTGGCAGTTGGAATTCGGTATAAGAGTAGACCGTAGTGCCGCTGCCCCTCCTAGCACACTGTATGGCGTATGCCCGTCTTCATTAGGCCGGTCGGAGCAGAACAGTAGGACGTTAAACCCCATTTCATTTCATTTCATTTGTTACTAGGAGGTCCCGGATTTCGTCCTGGTTTTGGCCGAGAAAGTTCAGATGGGAGGGAAAACCGAGAGCCACCTATTGCGTTCACGACAAAACCTTGAAGGTGACAAAAGCCGCTGCCCGGGCAAAGTTTTCTTCATAGCACTACACTGTATAACGTATGCCCATCTTCATCTACCCGGTTGCTATAGATACGTGGGAAGAATAATCCCATTATATTGTAACTTACATGTTTTAATTCGATGACGTCACCAGTACCAGCGTCCGATAAACTATCGGACATGTCGGATTCTTTAAGAGTGCCCATCGTATGCCAATAACCGGGCGGTTTATCTTTAATAATGGATGGTCTGTATAATCTAATTCCTTCAGTTGCTCCATAAGCAGCAGTCGGGACAGCTAGGGAGAAAAAAAATAATATTATAGTTTACTACAGCAACAAGTCCCGTTATTACTTAAGAAACAAGATTGAACTTGAACTATCTGCAAATCCTAATTTGAGTTCAAAATGGCAATATGATGTATCTGGCGAGAAAAAATAATAATATAGTTTACATCAACAATTAAATTTAAACTATCTAAAAATCTTTATTTGAGTTGAAAATGGCAGTATGATGTATCGTAACCCTGATTCCTTGATTAACCCCGGTATAGTGTATACTATATTATTTAAACCTGTCAATTGTATCCTTATGTCAACGTATGTACTTTTGTAAATTGATTTGATGTATTATTAAGCCAATAAATTAAAAAAAAATAACCAAAAAACAAGTCCCGTTATTTAGAAACACGTGAAAATTTGGGAGCCGCGGTGGTTTGGTGAGTAACGCCCAAGCTCACTAACTAGGGGGTCGGGGGTTCGATCCCGGTGTTTACCGAGAAAGCTTCCCGGGGTTTCTCCTCCTCAGTTAGTGCAGGACGGAGGGCCTGGCAAGGGTGAGGTCTAGTTGTTCGGACAAGAAGAAAAAACGAGAACCCGTGGACACTTTGGTGTGCACGTAAAATAACCCCTGACAGTTGGAATTCGAGATAAGAGTAAGCCTTAGCGCCGCTGTCCAGGGGAAAATTTCCCTTATAGCACACTGTATGGCGTATGTCCGTATTCATTAGCCCTATCGGAGCAGAAAAGTAGGACGTTATTAAATCTAATTTTATTTCAATAAGATACGTGTATATAAATGGCTAATTTCAATTTATTCACTGATATTGTTTTGGTATTGTACGTACTTTGTATATATTAAGTCTATTCTAGCACAGTCTGATTAAAATACAGATCCTATTTCGTTTCGTTTTGTTATAGTTCAAAATTTCGTATTACTTATTTTTACTACACTGGGATCTGGAAGAGTTGTTATATTACAGGTGTTTTGGCTGAAGTGACAGATAAGCCAACGAAACGGTTTGTTCCGGCGACGTCTTCGTGTGCCATGCACGGAACTGTGGGTAAACCATTAGAAACGTCAACGCTGGTTGATTAATCAATGTCTGATGTCATAGGGTCAAATCCGCTCGTACGACCCCTGACACAACCTTCGAGTACAACTTGTCAGATCTTCATGTAGTGTAGGCCGAAAGTTTAAAAAAAAAACGAAACGAAATATAGATCTGTATTTGAATCAGATTGGGTCTAGTCTTACCTTTCTTTTCTGGGTGATTAAATGGACACAAATCATACAAGCAACAGAATGGACTCAGGGAGCAGACGAGTATCAACACGACAAACGCCAAGAATGTAAAAGCAGCGGCGATGATGACCAACTTGTCAAAAGCATCCAATTCAAGAACGAAGGGTTGTTCGGCTGCCGACATGACGACCCATCATTGTTTAACTGGTCTGCATCCTGTTGACGTCATTATCTGAAAAATATCCAACACACTTTCTGTAAATATTATACACAGGACTACCATCGGGGGGGGGGGGCTGGGGTTACGCTTTAATAAACCGGATTGCGACCGGGCTGTTACTGTAAACCCTTAACAAAACGGGATTACGACCGGACAGTTAGGGTAAAGCTTTAATAAACCGGCCTGCGACCGGGCAGTTAGGGTAAAGCTTTAATAAACCGGATCGTAAAACCTGATTACGACCGGACAGTCCAGGCAGTTAGGGTAAAGCTTTAATACACCGTATTGCGACCGTGTTGTTAGTTGGTACTCTTTAACAAAACAGGATTACGACCGGGCGGTTAGGGGAAGCTTTAATTAACCGGATTGCGACCGGGCAGTTAGGGTAAAGCTTTAATAAACAGGATTGTTTCTGGGCAGTTAGGGTAAGGCTTTAATAAACAGGATTGCTACTGGGCAATTAGGGTAAAGCTTTAATAAAACGTGATTACGACCGGGCAATTAGGGTAAAGCTTTAATAAAACGTGATTACGACCGGGCAGTTAGAGTAAACCCTGGATAAAACAGGATTGCTACCTTGCATTCAGGGGAAATCTTTAATAAATCGGATTGCTGCCGGGCACTTAGCGGAAAGCTTTGATAAACGAGGTTGCGACTGAAGCATTGAACTCATGATCAACTTGAGAAAAGCTTCTATTATCATTCAGGGCCCGGTTCCTAGAAAATTCTTAAAGTAAGCACAAAGTCATGCTTCACTTTTTCTTACGTAAGAAACTTTGTCGTCTGCTTCATTGATATGGTTGATTTAGATGCATTTGACATGTCCCCTATACACATATAAAATGTGCCACAAGATAAAAAACGCAGACACATAAATGTGAGAGCGCCTGATCTTAAAGTAGCCTGTGTGTTTGTAGCCTATTGTTTACTAATTGGCAAATAAATAAAATGGTTTCAGGGTAGAAGCAAAATTTTCTATAGCATTCTTAAAGGAGCTAAATCGCTAATATTTTGGACCTACAAATTGACACAAATGGGTTGCAACGTATATAATAATGTAATATGAATGTAAATAAACTGATTTACATTTAATCGTTTCCGTTTTTACTCTAATTTCAAAGCAGTTATGTTCGGCGAAATACGCCAGAAGTCTCAATCGAATGGCAATCACTAGAGACTGGTTATTCCAGTCTACATCGGTAGTATTTATTGCACTGCTCTCCAGATAAGAATATGGGGGTCACCGTTTGGCATGACTTGTGGAATACATGTATGTCTAACCTCGTTCCTCGGGTCGCTTGTTACAAATTGCGCTGAAACGCATTATGGTACACGATTCGTGTACCAATCGTAAAAAGTTTATTTGTCTTAAATATTAGATATCCGAAGCCCATCTTTTACCGGTAAGGTCACAACACCAATGTTGATTAAAATTGACAAATAATTCGTGTTTTCAATGTCGAAGGTTTTGGATGATATTGAGTTAGAGACTTAGCTACTTTAATTTCTTCTGGAGAAGGATTTTCTCTGTCTTTTAATTGTCTCTTTGGTATCAAAAGGTGTCGGAAATGCCGTCGAATAACTCTACGGTCAGCCATCTTTTTGAAGCAGAAACAGACTTAAGGTTGGTAAGCAAGCCGTATAACTTGCTTGAGACTTTTGCTTAGATTGACTATGTTTAAGAACGAAGCTGTGCTTAAGTTTTTTCTTGGAACGCATAATTACGTACTTGTGCTTACAATGAAGTCTACTTAAAATCTTAGCACAAGAACGTTCTTAAGAATTTTCTGGGAACACAAAATAAGGTTAAGTTTACTTAAATGCAAAGTCTACTTAAAATATAAGCACAAGAACGTGCTTAAGAATTTTCTAGGAATCGGGCCCAGGACAGTTGGATAAAAAAAAACCAATCCAAATAATTAATTGTGTTGTGGACATCCTGCTCTTGGAATTTGTTGACATAAAACAAAATATAGGAAATGAAATGGGGTTTAACGTCCTACTGTTATGCGTCGACTTGAATAATGAAGATAACACGGACAATAACACGGATGTAATATTCTCGAAATTTATTGATTTATAATGATTCATACGGTTAACCTAATTCTACTGTTTATAAAATAATAAACCGAGAGAGAGAGAGAGAGAGAGAGAGAGAGAGAGGTGGGGTTTAACGTCCATTCGACACAAACTAGGTCATTTCGGGACTAACATATGGTTCAATTTTATTTCAATAATTCGCTGACGTGTAGGGGTCTTTAGCAGTGGGGAGAAAATGGAGGAACCGGAGAAAATCCACGAGGTTGGTCATACGACTCTACTCCTTGTCACGTAGAACTGGGGAATCTAAACCACGGCAGCTGACTCAATGGCAGACATTATGATATAATGCGCACGCGCTAACCATTCGGCCATCCAACCTCCCAATAAACTTAAAGCAGTATTAGGTAAGATTAGATAAAGCGTTGCCAGATCTCACTATAATAGTTAAAAAATAGATAATGTAAAGGGAATATGTTGAAATGTTCAGTCAAATTACTTGACTCTGAGCCGCGTTATCACCGATATAGTTACAATGTAGCCTCGATTGTCATTACTACCGTTGTTCCGATAATATAAAAAGTCTCGATTATCGATTTTTACGTTAACTCATCAACCGCAAATCGTAGTTAAATCTAGAGTATCCGATGGCATCGAGAGTTGATTGTGGTCTTGGCAGTGGGAGGAAACTGGAGGACCCGGAAAAATCCCACGGGGTTGGACAGGCGACCCTATTCCTTGTCACGTACAACCGGGAAATCAAAACCATGCCAGTTGACTCAATGACAGACTTATGATACAACGCGCATGCGCTAACCATTAGGCCATTCAACCCCCTAAGCATCAGAATAAAAAGTGGCTTTGATTTATATGCCCCAATCACTAACCTGCCCCTGAAACGAGATTCGCTGAGGATGTCCCGCGTTCGATCCCCGTGGTGGCGAGATAGTTACATGGTGCATAATTGGGAGTCTGGCAAGGAGGGAGAGAGAGAAATGGGGTTTAACGTCCACTCGACACAAACTAGGTCATTTCGGGACTAACATATGGTTTAATTTAATTTTATTTCAATAATTCACTTGCGCGTAGGGGTCTTTAGCAGTGGGAGGAAACCGGAGGACCCGGAGAAAACCCACGAAGTTTGGACAAGCGACCCTACTCCTTGTCACGTACAACCGGGTATTCGAAACTCCGCCAGTTGACTCAATGACAGGCTTTATGATACAACGCGCACGTGGTCTGGCAAGGAAAGGAGTCTAGCCATTCGGATGGTATGTAAAACATATATCACGTGTATACCACTGGAAGGACGTTAAAGATCCCCGGCAGTTGGAAATCAAAATCGTAGCGCAACGGTCTATTCAATATCTCACTTATAGCACACTGCACCGCACCTTCATTATTCCAGTCATTGCAGGAAATCAAGAAATTAACAGGACGTTATCGAAGACCTGTCTGTCCAATCCCGATCACTAGCCTAATCATTTGATTCACTATAAATTTGTTAATTTGAAATTAATTACATAGTTCCGGGGCAGCAGATGCGAGCAGTCGTCCACCATAGTGGGGTCTTAAAAAAACATTATGGTTAAAATATAGTAGCTTCACTAATTATAAAATTACACAGCTTACGCGCAGCTTAACAGGTGCTCGTTGGGTTGGCTGTATAAGGACAACTAGCACAATTTCACGTTTAAGGTGTTCACAAAGCTAACAGATTTGTGTTGGGCTTTTCCGAGAATATATCAAGTTAAAGGAGGCAAGTCTTTAACTCAATGGCATCCATTGTCTTCGACATTGCAAACACGATTTATTGGTCAATTTAAATTTAAACATTGATGTTATCTTACCGTGGAAAAATGGGGGGTGCAGGCTGTTTCGTAACCTGGCTGTTTCGTACTTAGTTCATTCGTACCTCAATTCGTACCTCAAATTGATTCGTACCTTTTCCTATGTTATTTAAATCAGATGAAAGAAATTGAATAGGCCGAACCAGAATTAGAATATGCACGAGATTTGAACATCAAATTGATTAGTTCCTTTTCCTAAATCCAACGGCTGCGCTAAATTTATAAAAATGTCTGCCGAACGAGAATTAGAATACACACGTAATTTGTACCTCAAATTGATTTGTACCTTTTCCTATATGTTGTTGAAAGAAATTCAATTAAATATATATGTTGTTGAAATGAATTGAAATAATAAACCATTACCTGCTTTTTTTTTTTTTTTTTTTTTGATTGGTGATTGTTTAAGCGGTTAAAAACGATTGAATATACTAATAATTCCAAAATGCGACAAGTAATAATAATAAACCTTAAATCAATTTAACTCACTGTAAGGTGGAACTGCATGCTTTCTGGGGGGTTGGATGGTCGAATGGTTAGCACGCGCTGTATCATACGGTCTGTCATTGAGTCAACTGGCGGCGTTTCGATTCCCCGGTTGTACGTGGCAAGGAGTAGGCTCGCCTGTCCAACCTCGTGGGTTTTCTCCGGGTCCTCCGGTTTCCTCCCACTGCTAAAGACCCCTACGCGCAAGCGAATTATTGAAATAAAACTGAACCATGTGTTAGTCCCAAAATGACCTAGTTTTTGTCGAGTGGACGTTAAACCCCATTTCTCTCTCTCTCTCGCATGCTTTCTGATATGGTTGGGATATGAGTCTAAAAATAGAACTCAGCAAGTCTCCAAAAGGTGCCTACGAGTGAAGATGGGCGTACGCGTTTCTTTGATCCGTTATATCATATACGGTTATATCACAGGGTAATTCTGTTATTGAAACCCAACTGCATGAAAATGGGCTTATGATATCCAATATTTAAGAGAAAATAAAAATTGAACATTTTAAGATTGGCACACGAATCGACATTTGTAACGAAGCGACTCTGTGAACGAGGCTAAACATACCCCACATGAGAATACTACAGTGTAGACTGGAATATCCAGACACCAGAGACTGTCATTCGATTT